CCCCCCCCCCCCCCCCCTCCAATCTCCCTTCGCCCCCCACCCCCGCTAATTCTGCACAAAGTAGTACACTATGCCTCCTTCGATCTCCCCCCCTTCCCTCCGTCTATGTCTCTCTCTCTCTCTCCCTCTCTCTCTCTCTCTCTGTCTCTGCCTCAATCCCTCTAGGCTTTAGACATTCAGGCTTTAATTAAATGCGAGCAACCGCTAATTCGATTACTCTTAACTAATTAATTAATTAATGCTGACGCGCTGTCTAAACCAGTAATGGACTTAGACTAATAAACTTTGGGAAACTTTTTCTCACCAAAAATATCTCCCGAATTAAATTTGCATAATGAATGAATTTGCAGGGAGAAATATTTTTTTTCGGTAATTAAGGCAAAAAACAATGTTTTCTCAACTGTAATCTATTGAAGGAAAGTGAAATGACCAGCTTGTTGATAAAATAGACAAGGCCAGAGCATTTGGAAACCGCGAAGTGAATCTCATCTCTTGGAGAGAAATTAGGTGCCTCATCGTCTCCAGACTTCACTCAAAACTTGAGTGTTGATATCGGCATTCCCCTCCACTGCACTCTCTACTGACTATACTCCCATTTCACAGCTACCTGCACTTTCATCATTAGTGAAGGAAATAATATGCTTTCAAAAAAAAGCAATTTAATTTTCAATTTGTTTAATAGATCTCTAGTTAAATGAAGGTTTCGTGAGATTCAATAAATTTTTTGCGCGCTGGATTCATTAAGCCCTCATTTAATAAGGAAATAAAATTTTCCCCATATGAAATAAATCAAATTTATTTAATTAATTTGACATTTGGTCTAATATAATCTAATATATTAAATTAAAATTATTTATCCAAAAAAGATTGGTCGTAAAATTAATTATATTGACAATTTGTGCACAGAAATCGGGCAAATTTAATTTGTTTTGAAATGGGAAAAAAATTTGCCAAGATATGAATGGTAAATAAGACTTGCAGCTTACCATTAATTAAATTTAAGGACGCTTTCACCAAAAAACGACCCTTTAATTACTTGATCAGTTGACGATAAACTTTAAATTAACATTAGGGGTCAAAGGGTTTTTTTTATTTCAGCGATGACCTTAACCCCTGGAATCTCTAGATTAATTCACCTAACCTTAGATTAATTATTTTTTAAGGAACGCAAATTCATTCTAGATGCCAATTTTTTTTATTCCAGGTAGAATAACTATTAGGAGTGCGTCAATTTGTATTGATAAGGCTACTTACTGAGCTGATTTTGTTGTTGTGTTAATGCGGTGGCCAAATCAGCACGCTGGCTGAGATCCTCTTCAGCCTCAGTTAAACTGTTCACAGAGAAGGCAAGTCGTTTTGCTCCAACTGGACTCCGATTATCCTGCTCGCCTTCAGCGCTTTCATCGAACATGGCGGGTCGTTTCCTGCGAATAAGGGAAGTGCCAGAAGTGTAGTCAATTGGATCGGAGGGACCAAGCCCTCCAGGTGGGCTGACACTGTGGATACCATTTGGATTGTTGCCGTCGGCTTCCTGCTTCCGCCATTTTGCACGCCGATTCTGGAACCAAACTTGAACTCGAGATTCGGATAATTGCAGGCGGCTGGCGATATCTTCACGAGTTAGAGCATCGGGATAAGGGCATACGTCAAATGCAGCTTCAAGCACTGAGAGCTGGTAGACGGAGAATGTTGTTCTATAAAATGAATAGAACTCCAGTCTCGAACATACAGGAATAAATTTATTAGATAAATTGTCAGTGTCACTGTAATCAATATTGGGTGAGCGAAATTGTCGATATATGACCTTACACACAATATATGCTCATTTATACACTATACAATTCCGAGCCCGATTAAAAATACAACGCATTTTTAATATAATCAAGTTCATGCAGTTTTACCATTCGTCCTCAAGTTGCATTTTGCTTAATTTTTATCATTTCTGTTTCAAAGAGTCTAAACGTTTGTTTGTGTTTAAAGGCAAACAGAGATAACGACTTACCGATGCCGAGCTTTCTTTGCCTTCAAATCAATCGATCCACTATTGCTGTTACTACCATTTTCATTAGTTCCAGGGGGTCCAGTTTGATGTTGCATATTATGATGAGGTCCAGTACTAGGTGAAAGTCGATGCACCGGCAGTGCGAAGGGGAAACCATGGGGAAAAGTTGGCGTCCCTTGGTGATTTGCAAAACCATAGAATTCTACGAGGTTGTTAACTCCATTCTCTGAAACAGAGGAATGAAGGTCGTTTAAACATGTCATGAAATCTAATCCATGTGCATATTGTCCCATCAATAAGACATGCTAACGGCGACGCGAAGTGGGACAGAATGCTGCCGCACGCGCTGGATTTAAGTAGTAGGCGAGTGGGGTATCTGGCCAATTAAATGTCCGTAAAAGTATCCTATTAAATGTCCCCCTATCACAGTGGGACTTGCAGTACTATATAAATTTCTGCCTCTCCCTTTAATGCCCTTAGGACTGTACGGTCCTCTTTCATAATGAGCTCCATTGGAACCAGACACGTAATGGAAGGCGCTATTACCGCTTGAAAAGTATTCAATACGTCTTCGAGGTTAAGGGGTTAGTGATAAGAATATCATATAGGTGTGTTTGTGTGCGTGTGTGTGCAAGCCCCAGCTAAATTTGAAAATGCTCAAGGAAGGCAGGTTTTAACACGTTATCTGATGCTAGGTTATCATTACTCAGCCCTCCTGCAGTGTGTTCACATTGCGCACCATTAATGAGGCTAAATAGCTCCTGCCGTCCCAACCAGGTCATAATTCATGCGTCATTGGTATACACTACGGGGCTGGAAGTTGAAGGTAGGTGGCTGGACGGATGGGTGGGTGGGTGGGTGGGGGTAGGACGGCTGGGTGTGTGAAGGAAGAGGAGGTATTAGTCTGCTCATTTAATACTCAATTAATTGTCCGGAATTTCTAATTGTTCCTGCCCTCTCTCTCTCGCCCTACCTCCTAAATTTTCTCTCACTCCTGCTTTGTGTTAAATTTATGACGGAAGAGCTGAAGACAAAAATGCAACGACAGTTGTTAGGCCTGGAGTGAAAATAAAGGCCCTCACTCCATTTAACGTTTAATTGTCAAATTATGTATGCATTCTCTTTGAATTTGGTTGGGACTATTAAATTTTTTTCTCTCTATCTCTATGGCGGCTTAATTGAAGTGTTGAAATTATCTCGATGATGGAGCCGTTTAATGAATAACATTAGAGCTTTTAATTATACAAATAGTTACATTATCTTTGGGATTAATTTATTGTCCTTAAACTAAATAAAGTGACATTGTTCTTTGTCAAAGGCATGCTGATAGTACTAAAATGGCCATTGAGTTTAGAATTCTGATTTGATATCTTGATGGTAATTTGCCTATATGCCTGAGTCATACCACTGAGAAAACTTAAACTCTATGCGCCCTCAAATTATGCAAAAATTGTGGCAGGGGTTAAATGTACTGAAATTCTACCGACGACACTTTAATCCTGAACTACCGAGTACTGAGGTTACAATTCCTTCCAATTACCCACCCCCCCCCCATTCCCCTCAGGGATTACTTACAATTTTTCAGCATTTTAATGAAAGGGATAGATCGGAACTCCAATCTAGGTAAAGTTATCTGGGAAAGATGATTATGGTGATAAAGGTAAGAAAATTGATTTGGTTGGTTTCCAATTCATTAACAGGACGTTAATTCCTAATTGCTCCTTGCCTTCCGGGTATTCCACATTTTATAATTAATTCGCTCCAGGCTTTTCTGTCTGTCTGTCCCTCTCACTCTCACTCTCTCTCTCTCTTCCCTTAATGAGCAATTAGGAGCGTTCATTTATTAATAGTACCACCGGTTAAGTATGGACTAAATTGGACGTCCCAGGACGTGGATTTACGTGACTACAGGCGCAGTGAAAAACGTCGGCTTAAAGTGTTCAGGTGGGCCTTCTCTCGGCAATTTATTAACGAAGTCGTGAGAAGCCGAGGTAAGTAATAATTAGAAGGTTGAGGGTGGGGGGGGGGGGGGGGGGGGGGTGAGGGTGTTCCATATAATGGCTGTCTGAGATATTACTATTGATTATGAAGTCAATGTCTGTCTACGTGCATATACTCACGGTTAATAAATTAGACGACTGCCAACTCTAGGCCTGATAAATGAGAATTGTTACAAATGGCCTTGTGGGAATTAAGGGGTTGACGTGTACGAGGACACCGCAAAATGAAATGGATTTTAGATGAAAGACAAGAAAATAACGGAACACCTTGAGCACAAATGCCTTTCCGAATGGTCCGCATCGAAAGTAAATGCCATTCAAGATAAGTATGACTCATATTAATAGTTTAATGCGTTCTCCGTGTAGAAGTGAAGGAATATCATTTATTTACCATGTTTCTTTAGAACAAGGTTAGCATCTATTTCTTGTCCAATCGATGTATGATTAAGGATTCAGTAGACCCGTCACGTAAGTAAACTTTAGATATGTGAACAAGAAGTGAACCAGAAAGCGGGACGCATCCGGCAATTTTACATTTGAATGCATTTGACGAAATAGATCATTCATTTCTCCAAGAGACGAAAACAGCATGTGACTCTGATTTTTTCTGCATTCACTTTGAACTAAAAATTTACCCATTTCAATCTCTGTTCACATACGTGGACAGCATGAAAGTCATATAGCATGGGGTGTCACGTTATACGCGCCTTAAGAGAAACGGTAAATTAAAATTAAATTTACAAAAATTAGACCGTTTTGAGTTCTTGTTACTGCATGAATTTTCCCTTTTATTCCTCATTCTATTGCTTTATTCTGGAAAAAAAGAGGGTTTTCCGTCAAACGGAAGAGAAAAGTAGAATTTGCATAAATCTTTAGCAAATGCATTAATCACTTTGCTAGTTTAAATGGGTATAGTATTTAGTGGAGGGGGAAGGGAGGGTGGATGAATGACAAAATGCAAAATGGGTCTTTTGTTTAACAGTTGGGTCATTTTTTGCACACCCACAGCGTAGATCATCAACTGATAGACGTCTCTTCCGTTGTAGAGGCCCTGCTATCCAAAATCATTGCATTTGCTAAACGGCGATTAAAATACGTGAGGAACAAAGCCTTCGCTGTGAGAAATCAGAGATTTCAAAAAAATGTTGGAAGCGGTTTAGATTTAGAGCTTAAAACGTTCCCCCCCCCACCTCACCCCTCTTCTCCTCCCCCTCCCACCCTACCTTACTAACCGTCTACCCAACTAAACCGCGGAAAACGGGAAACGGAAAGAAGTTGGGAAAAAAAGTATTTGACGATGGGGGAAATAATGGGAGACAAGTGGCTTAGCGGAAAGCCTATTCTCCTTATTTAACTGTATTACTAAGTGATACCGAATAGAGGGAATTAGGATGCGAGTTTCAGTTGATTATCAGACCAAGTCATTTATTAGTATTTTATGACTCGAAAACTGCGGAGGTTAGTGCGCAGAGCATTAAGATAGTTAGGAGGGAGGGGGGTGGGGGTGGGGGTGGGGGGGGGGGTTGCTACTTCTAAGGAGAAGGATCGAGCAGATATTCTTATACTCCCCTAATTGACTACTTGACTTACTCCTTGCATAAAGATCCCAATAAAATTGGTGCAAGATAATATCAAGCTTGAAATTGAATATTTTCATTTGCGTAGCAGTAGAAGCAATTACAATTTCTAGGAGTGGAAATAAAGGCAGACAACTCCAACCAATGATAATTCTTAACTTATATGCCAAAGAGAGAATATCAAAATCTTCAGTAATGCTGTCTTCATACTCCTACTCCATAAGTAATCAAATAGTATTATAGATAAGGACTTTCAGACTCCTATAAATTGTCGCTATCTGAAGTCCAGCTTCTTTACAGATTAGTCTGGGTGAATTTCCTTCGGATAATTAGAAGAATAGTGGATACTAGCTCTCTGTACGAATCAAAAGGACTTCCCCTCTCGTTAATGCAATTTCCTCCATTTAATTAGGAGGCGAGAGAGAAAATTACTCACACGTTGCGAAAAGAAAATATGGTTGGTAGGAGTTGAGGGTGGGTGTTCTCTATGAAACTCCTAAATACTTAATTAATTTATGCATAATAGGAGCTAATTGGCTTACACACGCTTTGGACAAACAGGTCTCACATAGTGGACGAAGTGGAGGAGGTGGGTGGGTGGGTGGGTGAGTGAGTGTAGAATTTGGTCTAATTAGCTGTGAACATTACTCACGCATCACCTTTCAATTTGACATTTTCGACCGTTTTAGAAACGGAATTTTTTCTGCCGAAAGAACGATTTGCTTGCTGTGCCCGTCAATAATTTTACATTCAACCGACCTTTTGATTAAGGAGGTCCCTCCCGCCCTCCCGCCCTCTCTCTCTCTCTCTCCCCCAATTATTTGATCTAATTAATTAGGAAAAACCCGGTTACCTTCCCAGAGGAATAGTTGAGGGAGGAAAGGGGTCTCCCTATTTGTCCATTTGTAAAGTAATTTAGTGTGAAAGCTAAGCTGGAAAGAATGAGTAGGTGGCTGTGAAATAGATGGGGTAACTAAATTAGAAAGTCCTGTCCAATTTATTCATCAAAATAGTCAATTACTCCTTTATGTGTTCCATCACTAGATAATTATCCCTTTATTATCTCATTCGCCCTCTCTCCAGACGTTTCCCTATTAACTTCTCTTCTTATTGCAATTTATCTCAGAATAATTAAATTAAAAACTTAACATACATGTATATATTTATATTTATCTTGTCTCTATTTATGAACAATAAGGAATATTTAATTACGGAATTATGTCCATATAAGATGATTGAAATTCACATGGCATATATACTTAGTGCTTTTATTTTAATATATAGGTGGAATCTAAAATAATGAAACAATTTTTGTTGCTAATTCACATATTTAATTAAGGAGATAAATAAGTGCAAGCATACATATTTAGTATGTATTAAAATGTATCATTTAAATATTTTGAGAATTGAAGAAGCCGTGATCTCTCCCTCCCCCTCTCTTACACATATTATGTGTTTCAAAAATTAAGATTTTTAATCTAATTTTAATAATTTCTTTCATCGAGGAGGTAGGAACAGCAATTAAAAATGCGCATTAATTGAGTCAAATCGATTAGCCAATGATGAAAGTAAGTGAATCAGCCATCGGACACCTGTTAATTAATTGATATGAGTTGATGAGAGGGAGAGTGAGAACTAGGGTGAAAGGGTGGAATAGACGGAGGGAGAAATGGGACGGGAGGTGGAGGGGGGGGGGAGGGAAATGCCGTGGAGAAATGGACAGGCTAGAGGAGGAGGGGAGGCATTCTAGTCAATTAGCATCATTAGAGAGTGGGATTGACGATTGCTGATTGAATGATGTAGGTCAGACCACCACCATGCTATTCACAATTGGGCATGTGTTAGTTAGCTTTACCTTCTCCCATTTATATCCTCCTTCTATTCACTCCCAATGGTATGCAGAAAGTTCCGAAATACCTCGGCCCTAATTACTCCTCTAGGGGAAATTTTTTCACTTTATTAGGGGAATTAACTAACTTTTAGCCTGGGGGGTGGGGGTGGGTGGGGAGGGGTGGGGTGTCTAATCAATCAAATGTCAGAGGAACCGGTGGAAACGCATTTTCATTAAAAATTCTTCAAATTAATTTTGCAGAAAACATTTTAGTCGAAAAGGGGGTGCCTTTTGATGTTTTCGCATTATGGCATTTACCGTTGAATATTCAGGTAATTAAGGTGCAAAAATGACTAAAATGTTTAAGTAACGAAAGGTCAGCCATGGAAACATAGACACTATCTATGGCGCGAATGCTGGATACAACTTTGGCCGAATAAATCATTTTTCCGATATAAACTGAAAAATTTAACAACAAAAAAGGAAGACTTTAAATTGGATTAATGATAAAAATGAACCACGGGGTAAGAGCAAATAATTTCCCCTTTTAAGAAGCCGGAAGGAATGTAGAGGGTGAGTCGAGATATTTTGAGAAGGCTGCTATGGGCAGGTCCCCGGAAATTGAGATTTGCCATTTTTATTGCAGGGCTAATTAAATTAGCTGAGCAACTAAATGAATGAATGAGTGAATGAATGCCTCTCTGGTTCAATCTCTCTCTCGCATTCTATCTCTCTCCCCCTCCCTATAAGCGATGGGGTTGAAATCTCATTAAAAGTACCTCAGCCAGAAGGGGGGGGGTGTGTGAGAGAGTGAGAGAAACTCATTTGACTTCAGGAAGCACTAATTGGACGCAATATTTTCTCAGATAAACAAAATTAAATTGAGGGAAAACGACGATTAAATGGGGATGGATAGAGTCTTCCAGACTTGCTTATCGATGAGGGGTGAAGCAAGCGCGTTGAGAATTGCTTTGGATACATGACATTTTTCACTGAAACTACTTGGCCATTATTTAAATGATGATTTAGGTCATTGTATAATATTCGTTGCACCTTATTTGACTTAAGATACTTAAAGGCATCGTTAGTTTGGGAAAAAAATTTTCAATGTCTCTCTTCTAGGTACTTGTCAATCAACCATGTTACATCCAACTTGTCATGAAAATTTATTCCAGCAAGTGTGTGACTTTTTCATCTGCCTTTCATCTAGTCCTTTTCAAATATCTTGAAACGGCTTTGTGCTCTTGACCTGGATTGCAAATTATTGCCCACGAATATAATTATCAATTCCATGGAACCTATTATGAATATATCGCACATTGCCACACATTTCATCAAAATGCTTAAAAGTTGCCTTGCCAGTCCTACACTGTTTTATATCTACACGGAAGCATTTTACAGATCCACTTACCTCCATTTGCAGAGATCATATTCTCCCCCATGGAAGTTGGAACCCAAGGCGGGAATGCAGTTGGAGGTATTTTTCCATCAATCACTAATCCCTTATTAAGTGGTGGTGGTGGTGGCTGAGGAGGCGGAGGCGGTGAAAACATGAGTCCATTAAAAATTTGCTCAAATGCAAGCGCTGAAGGGGACGAATTCATGCTGGCGGTTGCTGTAGAAGGTATTGCGAAGTTAATCGGCAACGACGTGATCTGACTTGGAGCTGAAAGAGCCGGTGGTGTGGATGCGCTAAGACTTCCACTGTCCATGGAGGCTTCTCGGGAAATAATGAGCTCTCACCGTTAGGCTGAACACCCAACGTGCCTTGTGTCTTGATTGTGCGGCTGTGTTCGTCGGTGTGGGCGCAATTCTGCTTTGGCCAAGCGCGTGCGGTGCGGACGTTCGCGATTCTACGCGCGGTTTTAGTAGAAATTTGCTCAAATGGTGGAGGGGGGGGGATTAAAAATCGGTCAAAGGGATATTTAAGAAGGCCAAAATAAGTGCTGTTTTAGATTCAATTCCTATTTCTATTGGAGAAATGATCCAATAAAGGGAATAATGATGATCGTGATATATTCAAATGCCTTCCAACCAGAAAACTGTCTGGAGAGCAGAAATAAACTCTAAACCACCAAACCGTTGGGAGTAATATTGAAAGAAATGATTGGATAGTTGCTATTCTGACTGCATTGGTGAAAAGAATTCGCGTAACTTAGTGTTAGTGTAAAATTTACTTGAGGAATATTGGATCATCCGGTATTTTGTCAGATTTTATCTTCCGGATCATTCACGCAGACCTAGGATGGAAATGATCGAGCCTTCATTGTTACTAATACCTCTTTATCTTCGATAGCTCAGTGTCTAATCCCTGTAGGTATTAAACAAAGGCAAGAAACAATAAAATGTAGAACCAAACTCAGGATATCACTAGTCATATTTGATTTGAGGTCGGAAGAAACAAAGAAGAACAAATTATTCAAAAGGATTCTAGGATTCATGAGTGACAATTTGTTAATTGCATAGGGATGTTCTTTAATAATTTATTTAATTTTACATTTGATCAGTATTCTTTGACGGTCATATTTAAGGGAATGAGTCTGACAGTGTTGTATTTACAGCCTCTTACTGATGTCCTTTTCATTTCCCAAAATATACTATTAAGGCACAGAGCACCTTACTAGTTAATTCGTAAGCCTCCCAAACGAGAGGTCAAGAGGTCAAGGATATTTGTCAACATCGACACTCCGTATTGCACGCCCCTCGATGTGGGTGGTCAAACTTACTGATTGACCGAGGTCAAGAAAATAAGCAGTTACGGACGAATTTCTCAAGGGAACTGCATCTTGCCATCAGCATTGCTATTAAAGAAAGTATTGACATGAAATTGTTCAATTGCAACGACTTTCTACGACCCGAAAATGTGCCATTTTTAATGAAAATGTGCGTGAATGTTCAGCGCTGTCATTGTTGCAAAATTGGCAACTATAAATCAATTGTTTCTATTGAGGTTTCTGAAGAGAAAGTGGCTGTTGAGTAAGTATTATATGGATGATTTAAAGCTTACAGTAACTTTTTATAATTATCCTCTCGAATCCGTATATATTGATTGACACAATTCCAGTGATGTTTGACGCTCTAGCTTTTATAATAATTGAATCAATAAATCAATTTCCGTAATCGATTTCCATATTAATTAAGGGATTATCTTTTTGAGAAGTATGAAAATATTTGAATCGATTTAAGTTTGCAGATTTCACTTCGCATAATTTCCATGAACTACTAATAAGAAAGAAGACGCCTCAAGTTCTCTTTGGAATAAATTTTCACGGTTGAATTCAGGTTAAAATAACATGCCAATGGCTAATCAGTCGATTCTCCTGAATTGCCAATTGCTGCAAACTCTTTCCACATTCTCCTTTAACTAAAATTTTATCACTTGTACTTCACAAGGACACCTTACTACTAGAACCTGAAAGGAAATAAAATCTGAAAAGAAAATTAACCGTTTGATGTCAGCTAATTTATTTTCACATCGGAGGCTGTCTAACAGAGAAAGAGCTGCGAATTTTTAACATTGTTGAGGCTTTCGAAGTGGTCCGGTCAAAGGATTTATTTATTCATTTATTTCAAAGTCACAAAAGCCGAGAGGAGGGGGAACGGTAGAGTGATTCACAGATGTAAAAGAGACAGACAGACAGAAAGGTAGAGAAAGTAGAAATGGGAGTACTGAGGAAGTGGTCGAATATGACATGCAGTGGGGTCATGGTAGTTTGAAGTCAGAAGTCAACTGCCGGTTTTTAGACTTTTCCCGTATGAGGTTGGTTAATATACCCACTGATTCGAGGTGTTGTTGTGGTGTTTTCTTAAGTGATTTCATTAAGTTAAACCGAATATTATGATAAGAGTAACAACTGAAACTGCAACTGGTTGTTCTACTGACTTAATCAAACCTAAACAATGCATATTTTTTTACTGTAAAATTGTTTGATAGAAGGGATCTCTGCCTTCGTGAAGCCGTCTGAAATCAGTAGAGAATATTCAACATCAAGCTTCAAGACAGCACGTTGCTGGGCCCGTCACATAAGAACGTCATTTTGGACGTCAAATTTTCGATAACCAAGGTCTGATGAAGTTTTTAGAGTAATTTTACTCAATAGGTTATAGAGACAATTGAAAATACAAAAACCAGCAAATTAAGAACAAATTTGCCTATGAGTCATCAAGGGTAATGTGAGCTCAAATCCCTATCAGGACACCAGCTCTCCTCATACTGTACTATGTGCAAAAAATGGTAAATGATAGGCTAACTTGACTTTAAAATAAGAATTTATAGAAGATTTACCTGGAGTGTGTTGAAATTTACGACCGCTGAACGATTAACGCAATGCCGATTACTCAGAGTCTTAATGCAACGACATTGTCTGAAGCCTAAATCTGCGGTTAAGTGAAGTAAATTTCCCCGCCAAAAGTGGAAAGCAATTAAAACACAAAATTCCTATTAATTTCACTTTCACTTATCTGCTTCACCCCCTCTCCCACCCCCCCCCCCCCCCCACCTCCACCCCTCATTCTGCATTTAGACTGCGAAGCGCCATAATTATTCCATACGTCGGAATTAAAATTTAAATGTAAAATAGACTCGGAAAGGGATTGGGGGAATGTGGCATTGAAGCCATTACTAAGTGGTTTAGCATTTAATGTCATCAAAAGCGAAATTGAGCTAAATACTCAGTTAGCATATTTAGCCTCACTAATACCCAACCCTCCCACACTCAAACACAAACACCCATTCGCCTAATTCTCATTTTTATGATGATAAATACACACAAACCCTGATTCTACTTCAAAAGCGACACTCACACAAATGGAGCACGCCGATTATTTGATGATAATGAGGTGAAGAGTGATAAGAACAGCGGTTTTCAACTATCGATTTTAATCACATTTGTTGGGAGAGGTGAGGTAGGAGGTGGGTGGGGGGGGGTGTGGAGGAGGTTGATTCGGAGGGTCGAATTGTTTGAAATAATATGCCAAAATGAAGTGAATGCTTTGAGTACATCAGTTTAAATTTTATTTATTGTCAACGAAAGCGTAAAATGCTCTGGATATTTTATGAGACAAAAGAGTAATCAGATTTTTGTAAAAACAAATTAATACCCTTTTGTACAAACACTGACAATGAAGATTTATAATGCCTGGTTCAATGGTTCCTGAAAATAATGGAATGGTTGAATGAGGAGCGACTACCTTGATGCCTAAATTTGTGGCATTTCAGAGCGTAAACCCTTCCTTTGATAAGTTGAAAAACCGTTAAGCAAACCGCTCATTTTGCTAATTGATGATTTTTTCCCAAACTCCGTCTTCTTCTTTGGAAAAGTTTATAAGACTGGTTAGGTCGTTTAGTTTTACAGAACACCAACTTCAAGTTAATTGTGGTAATTGTTGGCCTCCTTATTTTTGGGCATAATTCGATTAAAAACCAAATGTCTTCTAAGCATCCGTCAGTCATTCACGCAAAATTAAATAAAAATGCGTCATTTTCGGAAGTGCAGGAAAACGGTCCATCTTAATTTAAAAATTTCCCTAAAACTACCTAGTTAACTTAAATGAAGCATAACTACAACAAAAATGGTCCTTGGAGAACCGGAAAGGAGGGAAATGCTTCAAGGAGGAGGGGAGAGTATCCACTCCACATGTGAAAATAAACCGGGTGAGGACACCAAATGACTAGCCAGTCACTTGATTGTCTTCTGTGCGTTCATTCAAACTCCCAGCTTGTCATTTGTGAAGCCATCGATGCATAAAGATGCAGACAAAGGTAGAAAGGTCAACAGGAGGAGGAAGAGAAGAAGGAGGATGAGGAGGTGAAGAGTGGATTAGAATGTTTCTGCTAATTGAATGGTAGCTACGTCCATAATTAACACAATTATTACTTCACTCTCGCTCTCCCACTAACCTGCATGCAAACACCTTCTTCCCACCCTTCACTGCAAAATATTTTCGCTCTCCCCCTAATATCTCCCATCTCACAGATGAATGGTAATAATAAAACGCTATTCTGGGGGGGAATAAGTGTTGGTGACTGTTGTAGGCAATGTCTCTTTCATATAATTGACACCTACTGCTGCAAGTTGGCTGCTTCCACCCCTGCTGGCACGCCCTGTGTGTGATGTCTGATGCACAACCCATTTCGCTCAATTAATAATGCTTACTTTATTGGGAGGCTGAGAGTTCATTACTCACTCTCCATATTGAAGTGCCTATCACCGGACCACTCAGTAAGAACTGCTTGACGCCTTATTGTCAGACGCTACAAGGTCGTGAATGAAGTAATGTGCACACTTTTTGAAATCATCTCTCGTTCAAGTACTTTAGAGAGGCAATATATTTTATGATAACGAAAAATAGAACGAAAAAGGTTGCGAACTAATCCAGATCGCCGTAGATAGTCCACCCTTGACATTCATTGAATCAAAAGTACAGATATCTTGATCGCATTAGACATCTTCAAGAGTCATTTGAAAGTACTCACCAACTTTCGCATGACTGAAGCACTCGGAACATTAACTTCGCGATTGTCCATGACAAGTTCGTTTTCATTTGAATAATGGAATGATTAAGGTAGTATGATTTTTTTCAAAGTAGCGTAGCACTCAATATGATTTTGTTCATGGTTTCACAAGTTTGTCGATCGACCAGTTTAATTTCGTGATGGTTTACGAAATCTCGATGTAAGTGCTTCTAATTACTGTCAAGTGAATGCAAATAG